TCTCATTTGGTTGGACAACTATTCCTTCCTGAATGAAGACATATTTCCTTTTGAGATACCGCATCTCTTCTCCTTTTCCTACTCCGTCGGCTGGGTACGGTCCTTCTTTCTCCACCTTGAACACCTTCTCCAATTCTTCCACTAGCCAAACCGTTTCTTCCGGTTCTCCAGCTAGCAATTCGTCATCTACATGGATAGAGATACACAGCTTCCTTGTGGTGTGTCTAGCCAGCGCGGGTACATGAACTGAGAATATGAATCCAAGTTTCTCCAGTATACTCCGCAAGTGTTCATACCATCTTGTTGCTGCGTTACGTTGGCCTGGGAGGCATCTCTTCAACCTCCACAGCACTCCTTCCTTCAGATTGGCAGCTCGCTTCATCCAATCGCTGATTGTGATTAGCACCTCTTCTTGCTGCAGGACCTGAAGGTATGCGTCCTCTATATCTAGGACTACTACGACCCACTTGTACACCAGGTGTAACAACAAGACTAGGCGCGACGCGGCGTTGCTCGCCGTCGGGGGCTGAATGTCTCAGCCGTAGAACTCGCACCTGCCCTGTACTCCCTTGCCACTATCCGGCAACGTCTTTTCCACCTGTTGTCGCGAAACCTCCAGTCGTAGACTTCACGCAAATCCATGCGTTTTTCGTTCCCTGTTGCGTTCGCCTCCATGAATTCCTCAATTACTCCTAGCTTGCTAAGGCGATTTAGCTCTTCCACTGCTGCTTCTTGATCCAAGGCATCCAGCTCTTCTGGACTCAATTCCGGTGGTGTTTCTCCTTGGTCATTCTTGGGAACTTCTTCCATCTCTCCTTCCATGAGATCTTCATACTCTACATCTTCTCCTTCTACTGCTGTGAGATCCTCGTGTTCATCCCAATGGAATGGGTCATCTTCCTGAGATACCCTGCCTGCGAACAAAGGCGGGTAGATTCCTTTGGAGGGTGATGATGGCGCCGATGGTTCTTCACGTGACTTCTTTGGAGATCCTTCAACTCCTTGTCCTCCTTCCACTGGTCGCTTTCGCAAATCTTCCAGCATAGTGTCATCGCTAACACGTACTTGGTCTCCTTCAGGCTCTCCAGTTTGTACATCGTGCATCGAACTTGAACTCCGGGAATGAGAACTCGATCCCGTGCTGGCCCTGCCTCCGTCTGAGGCCCTGCCTCCGCTAGAGGCTCCACTTGTGTCCAGCATATCCAATAGTTCTTCCACTTGTTCTTCTTGAGATTGTCCTCGATCTTCCATACGAACTACAGGTTCCTGCGCTGTTTCTTCTTCGGCGATACTTGCCAACGCTGGGGCTGGTAACGGCTGTTTACTGAATGTTCCTTTTGGTTTCCTGGGGTTCCATGGAGTTACACTCAGCTTCAGTAGGGGTTCTTTTCTCCATCCAGTGGCAATACGTCTTACCGATCCAGTAGCCAAGACTCCGTCTTCAACTCCTACCAAATGCATATCCTGGGAGTTCTTACCTAGATAGATTCCTCCAATCCAATTAGCTGTTCCTTTCTTCTCAGGCTTCTTTAGAGCATATACATACTCACCGAATGGGGCTATCTTTCCGAGGTAAGGTCTGCCCACGACACTTTCATAGGGCGTTGAACCTATCGCAGCGTGTCTGTGGTACCTGTTCAGCAACCACGACGCATGGCACAATCCCCAGGCCCAAACTGAATGGCCTTCGGGAATCTCTATACCAAGCTTCTTTTCCGCTGCTCGTACTAAGCATACTGTCTGGTTCCTCACCGTCTGAATAAACCGTTCCACTCTTGCCGTTCTTCCTTTCTGGTACGGCTTGTTGTTCTGATCGTGAGTCTTCCGGTTCATCTTTCTCCGAGTCTCCACGATTGCAGCTATCAGAGACAGCATTGCCTCTTCTGAATCTCCAACGAATCCTAGTTCGTCCAAATGTCCAAGACTGTGTACCCATTTCAACATTCTCTCCACTGTCTTCCGTTCGGTCTGTTTTCCAGATACTGGGATCACAACTGACATACGTGTCCATGAACAAATTCCAACCAGTGCTGGTGTGTCCTTTCCTTGTAGAAACATAAAGTCCAGCTGAATAATGGGATAAGGTACTCCCACTGAGTCCTTTCCTGCCTCTGGGTTCTTCTTTTCGTGATCCTGTTTACTCTTGGCTTCCACGCATGACTCACACCAATGTGCAAACGGTAGGTGTGTCGCTTCATGAGCTAGTCGCTCTTCTTCCGAAGGGTTGTACGGTTCTGCTTCCACTCGTACTTTCTCTTTCTCTGCGCTCTTCAGCTTCTGCGCAGACTTCTGCATCTCCAGCTCTGACAACGGATTTCCGTCTCCATCGTAGGTTGGTCCTAATACTCCTTCGCTCCTTCCAGGGGCGATGTTTACTGGCACAACCGGCGTACTTAGTTCTTCCGGAACTCGCTCTTCATTCCTCGCGAAAGGTGTTTCCGGTCCTCTCGCAACCATCACTGCTTCAAAGTCTCGACAGATTGTGAAAAAGTTTCCACTCACTGCATGTAGGATAACACAGATCCTCTTGGGTCTTCCATGACACTCCGGAATCTCCACATTGTGACTCCTGATTGACCCGTAGTCCGAGTACAACTCGACTAGTGACCATTCACTTCCTCCTTCAGACACCATCGTCGTCCTATACTTCCATCCTGGAAAAGCATCTTTGGGATCCATGTAAGTTGTTCCTTGATACAAAACAAAAGGTGTACCGTCTTCCATGATCGTCCACTTACCGCTGGGAGTTCTGTCCAACAGCTCCCGAAGGTAGTTTGGAATACGCACTGTGACGCTTCTCTCCACTGCAGTACGACTGTCAGTGCTACCTCTCGAACTTCCTCCAGTTCCACTTGTTCCCGTCCAACGGGCACTCCGATCACTTCCAACAACCGATAATCTACCTAACAAACAACAACTGTTCCGCTTATAAAAGATCCTTGCCGTTGCTTTCCCATCTGGGCTGACCAGAACCATTGACGACACCGTAAGGTTCCACTGAGCACTAAGAGCTTTCTCCCCTTCAGGTACTTCTGGTTGGTATTCCAGTCTCCAACCATTCTTCAGCAGTCTTCCCATTGACAACAGAATGTTTGTTGCATCGCTTACAATAAAGCTTTCCGAAATACTTGGGGCTGTCCAACAGTCCTCTCCCTGTTCTACCGAAATCACGGCAGTAACCATTCCTGCTGACCTAATCGCATTTCCTTGGGCATCCTCCAACAAGATACCTGTTCCTGCACGCCTGTCCTTTGGGAAATTTGTACTTAAGTACATTTTTTTTTCTAAGGACAGGCCAGCGTCACGCTGTTTTTTGTGCTTTCGGAGGCTTGCGTGTTGGGGGACCTGAGCCGGGAGTGATGGAAGGCAGCCACTTGAGCCAAAAAACAAAAAAAATAAAAAACAAAACAGTTCTGGCGGATTTCAAGCAAAAACGGAGAGATACATGTGTGCATTATATAGTATGTGTATGTATTTTGTAAGCAAACATGTGTTGTGTAGCGTTTAGAAGAACCCCAAAACCCTGAAAAAGACCTTTCCCTTCCTTCTCTCCTCACTTTCGCACAGAATGCAGCAAACATGTCGCGTGAAATGCCCAAGCTTCGTAAGCATCGGATGACATCAGTCACGATTGCGTTGTCAAGCACGTAGATACGTCCTAATAAGTAATTCCGTATAGATTGTGGCAACCGCAGTCAGGACAAACAAAGGCTGCATCAGGGGAAAGTAGCTGCGATATTTGTTCGGCCATCGCAGTAATGTGACACGTACGTAGACAAACAGTACGTTCTTTACTCCGGAAGCCACAGCAAAGTTGAACCCCAGATAAATAATTTAGCCACCGTGCGAGCCCTGAAAACTACACACCCCGCGCGGAGCCACCGCGAACCCTTAGAAACCTACACACCCCGCGGGGCCTAACCCATCAGACCGCGGCTACACCATAAACCCTGGCTATCATCAAGCCAATAAACGCCAGCAAAGCACCCAACCCACAAACACGGGCCGAAGTAAACCCCAAACCCTATTATTCCGCTGTACTATAAGCCTACACGCAAACAATTAAACGTATCAACGAAACCCGAGGAAGCCTGACAAACTGAAAAGCCTCACCCTCCAACCCCAAACCCCAAACATCAAATGCCAAGCCCCGCAGACCCTAAATCCGAAACATCTTGTACCCACATGTACCCCGAGCAAAAGCAGGCCCTAAGCCCCAAGCCCAATTTCTCAATAGCTTAAACCCCCGACCCTACAGTATGTGAGGCCAAATATATGATATCTGAAGACTCCAGCGAGAATATGCAGGCCTAGATTCCGAAGACTCAAACCAACCCCTAAACCCCAAACCCCAAACGCGAAGGCCTAAACCCGAAACCCTAAAAACTTAAACCGCCAACTCCAAATATTATATATGTACATATATATATATATATATATGTACATATATAATATTTGGAGTTGGCGGTTTAAGTTTTTAGGTTGTCACGAAATCTGAAATTGCCCAGCCCACCCCAGCGCAGACACGACTGCTCGCAAGCCACTATATTTACCGGCATCCATGCACGCTCATGCATGAGTGGCAAGCCAATGCGCCAACAGATGTTGCCCGAAATGTTATTTGGGCGGCATCGCGTAGATCAAGCTATGCAAAATTGTTGCACATGCACTCACGCAGCTATATATAGGGCGCCCCTGCGAAATGATATTTGGGCCTATAGCTGTGGCAAATCTCACTCAGATGTTGCCCGAAATGATAGTTGGGCCTGAGCAATATATCAAGCTATGTGAAATCGCAAAAGTTGCCCAACGAATCGAACTGAACCGCTTCTTGTTTTACCGCCCCGCCAGCCAGCAGTTATACTGCAAGAGCCACCTTTGCAGCACTCGGAGCGACAGCGTAGCGGCGTGCACGGCCCCACGGGCACATTTCATGACTTTGCCGACAAAGTCCTCCTCGAGATTGCACCCGGCGTACCGGGGATTCAATCGGCTGTATGTCAATCTGCAAACGCATTCGCAATGATATTGATGAAACTTTGGCCTGATCTTATACCTGAGTGCGGTTCTGCTCATATTCTTGATCGTTAGCACACTCCATGCTTGCATGTAATCACATATTTAGACGGGAGGCCGTGGCTCCAGCATCTCGAGATATCGCGATGCCAGGGCCAGGTAGGAGTGGCAATACCATCTGCCGAGCCTTGGATCATCACAGACTTCTACAAAATTCGTTTTTGCACAACAGGGCTCCACACACACGCAACACCGGTGCAGCAACGGTTCTGCTGCGCCAGCATTGCCTGCTCATCCGACAGCCAGATTGAGCAGGCGTCCAGCAAATTCGAGAATGCTGTGATCGACCAGGCATTCACTGCCGCCAATCGAAGCTCGGGAATCGTTTGGCAAACCTCCTTAGGCCCAAATCCTATACAAACCACAGCTGAATACAAGCGTGGACCGCAGATCGTCAAGCAGAGAATATCGCAAGGCAAGAGGCAGACAGCCGTTCGGCTAAGTACGCCATCCTTATATAGGCACATGCAATGTTTGTGCTTTGCTCCCTTTGCGCTCTCCCTATACTCTCCCTCTCTGCTGAATTATTGGTGTGCCAAGCAACAAGACACGGTTTGCATATCCTTTTCCCGGCCCCTTCGGGTACTCCAATGTGACCGCATCGATTCCCAGCTTCACCAAACCTCAGATATATTTTGCGGATGCAGCACGAATTGTCAGTACGGAGTGGTTCCAGCAGCCGAAAATACGAGCAGCTGGGTGACTCAGTCCATCAAGAATGCTGGGTCGGATATGGTGCTCCGTGCACCACATCTGAAAGTCCACATGCAGGTGATGCAACCTTTCATCCCACGTTTCGTAAGCCTGAAACTGCGGAGAAAACTTCGCCAGCTCCATAACATGAGACGCAGTGGCATCCCTCTCAGTTCCCAGATACAGGCAATGGAGCAAATCTGGATACTCACAGGAGTGGTGGTAGCCAGGAATTCTCCACATCCTCGAATACGACACTTTGCGGCGCAACATGCACGGCGGACACGCACTTGGTAATTGTCTAGAGCCTGAACGCAAAGTTAAAAGTTTCCAAACATAAGTCAAGCCTGGTGACGCGATGTTTGCACCAACGCCTAAGACAAACGAAGCAGCGCGTGCAATAAGTGACACCCGCGACACAACTCAAGCCAGCTCCACACCACACTTGCATTAGAGCACCATGCCGCCTAGCTACTATCATTCGAAGCTTCATCCAAGTCTGCCTGGTTATCGAAGCCCTCACGCATGTCAGCCCAATGCTTTCCAGGTGTGCTGCCATCGCACAAGCATCTCGGGCAGATTCTGCCGGCGTTCTGCTCACGAGGAGCATTGCTAGCAAGGTTCCCGTAGCTTCTACATTGTTCCAACCATTCCCTTTTGTGCTTCCAATCTCCCTTCGATATGACAGGGTGCATGGTCCATCCGTGTTGGCCTTCGCTGGCGGGGTCGCCACAAATCCGAAAGGAATCGGCGTAGTAGCGCTGTAGCGCCTGAAGCGTGATATTCTGGCCGTTGTCGTAGACAAATCTGTCTGATCGCACAACCTCAGCCATGATTCACACACACTGTGTGCATGTGCACATCCGCTGCACGCATACATAAGCGACGTCTGGAATTCACATAGATGCATTAGAGGAATCTAAAACACCGGCCAGGGCACACAGAACGGGAACTTCTGCAGCATCGAGTCGCCCCGGTGGATGGCCAAGGGCGAAAGCGACAGGATCAAGATGCTTTTGCTCCTCTTCCCAGTACCCTCATCGCCGTGAATCGACACGGCCACCGCTTTTTGCCTGGCCTCCTCCGGCCAGGACTGCACCGGATGATTCCTTGTATATGTTGCCGGATCGACATATGAAACATTCCACGTACTGCACTCTAGAAAACAAACAAGACACAGTCCACACACACCTGCATGCTGCGAGAAAAACGCATCCCCCATGGCTCGCTCTTGGCCTTCTGCCACCAGTCCAGCCAGTCGACAGTGCCCGCCCTTATTGATTGCGCAGTGTGGATGGAGAATTCAAAACATCACGACATCACCAACATGCGAGAGCATCTATTCCAATCTATGCATATGCACGCATGCAATGCCAGCAAGCATCAGCTCTGCGATCAAGCCAGAGCAAACCATGCTCTTAAAGAGAATATGAGGCAACAGCACCGGCAGCGTTTGCATGCACTTATTCTCAGTCGACTGGGCCCTCTTGCTCTTCTTCTTGGGGTTTCGCCTCCTCGGCAAACCAGCCCTCCTCAAGCGACAATTGATTTGTCGTCGCACTTCTTGTTCTCGTCGCGCTTCAGCACGCATATCTTTCATCATGAGGGACACCGAACTCAAAGGGCATACTAGTGGAGCCTCGGATATCCTTGCATACATTCCGACATGTTCTTTAGACGGCATACATATATTATTTATATTTAGACATCTAATATAATTCAGACCGGCGACATCGCTCTTCGAGGAAGATACAGCCTTGCTCAGTTGCTCCTCGATGTGTTGCGCACAACGTCCTGATGCGCCCAAACTCGCAGCCCACCTGGTACCTTGGAACCGGGCATCTGCGTGCATGATTTGCCAAGGCATGCAATGATATAAGGTATTATAACCATTGTGCAACAAGGCACTGGGGGTCACATTTGCATCCCCTGCTTCTGCGACGGCCGCAGACGCCACTTCTTGAAGAAGTCCGGAGCTGGCTCCCCGGCCCACGTGAAAACCGAGTGTTCTGCTCAACGCGCTTTTCCGCAATGAAAACTCGGCAAAAGATGGTCTTCTGGCAACAGAACCATCACTGCCAGCAGTCGCCTGATTTCTGTCCAGGCTCTTTTTCAAATGAACCAGTCTCTTCAGCAGCGGCATAGGAGCCCAGGCTGGGGTCAGACAGCACGAAAAGGAAAGCCATGATGACGTGTAGGGTGGGCTGCATGGGTGGGCTCGTGTAGGGTGTGGTGGTGCATGGTGATACATAGTGGCATGTTGCATACCAAAGTGCATAGGGTGGTCTTGCATGGTGCATGGTGGTATTGTGCATGGTCGCATTGGGGAGTGAATCATACAAGTAGTATTACAAGGTGACCGATGATCCAGAGGTTGAATGAAAGAGAACGTCATCGCATGACTCAACAAAAACTCTACATGGGGCTGGGTTGGCACCTCGAACATAAGAAGCATGGCCGTGCACACATATGCTCATGGACGACTGATGCCAGACTCAAGGACACGCGCTTCAGGCTTCAAGCCATGCATGACAAGTCGACTACACAAACCGCATCAATGCTTTTGGGGGATGATCGCACTTGATGCTGCCGGCCGGAAGTGACTCAAGGCAGGACTGCAGTACACTGCAAACCCCAGGCACTCCAGCATGCGGCGGCCTCCTGTAAGATGCACAGCACACTAATCATTGATGCAGAACGCCAACTTCAGGGTTTCGGTGTTTCGGACTTAGGACGCAGGATTTTGGAGCTTTGGGTTTAGGATCTACAAACACTTCCGGAACAAGGTAGCAAGAGTATATCTGCGATGGCAGCTAGTCACACAACATAGAGTGCCGCGCATGCTGTTCTCAAAAGATGAACTGCTGGCCGATCCCCGCTCACACTCAGAGCACACTGGTTTTTTCAGAGGCAGAGTGCTGAGCACAGCAACCCTCCAGCCATCAGCAGATCGAAGGAAAGGAAAAGGAGGCTTCCATGGGTCGGATGCAAAATAGCGGTTAATTCGGGAACCTTGATGGTATCAGCAGGCGGTATGAACCCCGAACACCAACACGTCCCAATTAGAATGATTGATGCAACCAAACCACACTATGCTAAACACTACATACATATATAGATGTATATGCCACTCCGAAAACGAGAAACCATGAAAACACATACATACAGACAGGGCTCAGCTAGGACCTACGGTTCGTTATAAGACGATTTACAGGGTTCTAGCTGTTTAGGATTCGACGTATTGTGCTATGTTTCCTACTCAACCGCTACCCACCCACCCACCTATCATACCTAGACCGGCTACAACCATATGCAGAAGCTACCATATATGCGCCTCGGTTTGCATCCGGACCTAAGCCTGTGCTGCAGCCTTTGCAGCCGACTTGGCTTTCTTGGCCGTCTTATTCGCGGGACGTCGCTCCGAAGCGATCCTGAGCCGAACAAGAATCGTGATCTATTTTACGAATAACATCAAGCTTCACATGGATCGACTGTCACACACAATATAAGCTGCACATGCCAACAAAAAAACATCCTATATATATACATCTGAAGCAAGAAGCAGGCCATTCGCCACTCGAAGATGCTTCTTGAAACCCTCCACAAACACGGTAGCCTAGGAGGTGTCGCATGCAGTGTGCCGAGAGGCAAGGGTCAAGGTCTGCACACACACACACACACATACACTGCACATCGTAACCGAAACATCTGCCCAAGTCGCCTCCAGCAGGGCCGATTGCACATCGGCGGCCACTGGCTCTGTCCCCATGAGCTGGAGCTTCTTGCGACAAGCCCCGATGCCTTCGGCACAGTCCTTAATCTTCCCCATCAAAGCCTCCTGGCTCTCGAGGACCTCCAACCTCAGATTTCGGAGCAGATGCAACTTTGCACCGAGAAGGCTTTCCCGCTGAAACATGGTGTTCGCCTGCCTAGGCACTCTGCACACGTTTTCACGGCTTGCCCCTGGGCCGTGTTCGCCGCGGCCACCCACGACTTCACGAAAAGTCCAACGTTCTCTCCACTGCAGATCAACTCCATGTCGGATCCCTGCCCAGGCAGGCTATCTATCGAGCTGGGATATGTGCATGCATGCATGGGACTATCACGTACACACGACGCGTGTGCCTCCGGCTTCGGAACTTTCGCCTTCTTGGGCGGCGGCTGGGGGTCTTCCGTCGTCGTGCCGGGTGGCGCAGGCGCACTGCCTTTTCCCTTTGGAGCCGCCTTGCCGGGGGCCGGCACTGGCGGGTTCACCGAAGAAGTAGCCCCATCAGCAACTGGCAGGGCGCCGTTCATGGAGTCCAGCTGTGCCGCCACGGACGTGGCGAAGTTCGGGCAGACGCCCATGCTGATTGCGATTTCGTCCTCATTGTTTCCAACAGCACCGTGACATGAACTACTATACAACAGCATCCGGATCCGGACATGAGACAGTAGAAAAAGTGCCAAGACGCGATCGTACGAACCGTCAGGGTCCGTCGCTGGCGGCCGTAATATAGAAATGTCTCCATATCAGGATCATTCCGATCGCAACTGGTCCTGACACTTTCTGTTTTCATTAACTATTATGGAGCACACGGTACCCTAACTGAACTGCAAGACATGATCTTCACGCAACCGGTCCCTTTGGGCTCTGCTCTGCGTCTTGCAATGAAGGATAAGGCCTTCTGTTCGTTGCCCTCGTGAAAGGCGAGTATATCACGCCAGCAATAATATTCACCTGTGCATGACCACATCACATAGACCAACTAAGAAACCTTCCAAAAAAACGACACACATATTCGACAAACTCCCAGAAATATAGCACGGCTATACGTATATATATATATATATATATATATACATACATATGGATATACATTATCTTCTGTATTTCGTATATGCTATAATATGAGAAAACTTCAATATAGGAATATGCGGATCCACCTTCGTCTTTGCTCTCCTCCTCGCTCTGCCGGCGGAACTGGAGGGCACATTCCAAAGCCGCAGGGTTACCTTTGGGATGACGGGATCGATGAATACATCTTTACACTCTCAGACACACAACGTGTACATTAATAATCTCAGCTACAGAGTACACGAGGCTACGGCGATACCCGTCGTCATATAGTTAGTGCATATACAATAATATATAAGCCTGGCCACAGCCTGTCAGAACAAACTTCTGGAACATTGCCAAGCGCTGCGGTCCGCCCTGCACCCACACCTTCTTCAACTCCACTGCTCCCGGTGAGTTCTCGCAAAAGCGTTGGAACGAGCGGTACTCAGTCCTGTGGGTGCTTGAGTTGACCACAGGTCCCGTCGGCGGGGCTTTCGTCACAGCGGTCTGCGGTGGCAAAGGCGTCGAAGGAGCAGGTCCTGTCGGCGGGGCTTTCGTCACAGCGGTCTGTGGCGGCAAAGGCGTCGAAGGGCTCGCAGTGCTCGGCGGCGGCAAAGGCGTCGAAGGGCTTGCTGTGCTTGCCGGCGGCAAAGGCGTCGAAGGGCTTGCTGCTGTGCTGGCCGGCAAAGGCGTCGAAAAAGGGCTTGGCGGCAAAGCCGGCTGCGAGTCGATGATCTTCGTCTTGTCAACGGCCTCGACTCCAGCATCAGGGGCTTTTGCAGCAGCCACAATGCTGGCCATGGTCTGCTGAATGGCCGCAAGCCCCGCTGCATCAACACCATGGCTCACCGCCGTGCTGAGAACCGTCGCCAGCATCGTCGTCATGGCATCACTCGTCGGCCCTGCTGCAGCTGCTGTCGTCTGCTGCTGAAGCGGCACAGTCGGCAACGGCATCGGCTGGGGTACTGCCGGCGGCCCCTTCGGCACAGGTTGGCTGATGTCGGAGTCGACGGAATCCGCATCACTGGTCAACGACAGCGAGCTGCTCGAGCGGTACCGCGACCAGAAGTTGCCATACATCGCCTTCTCCTGCAAGGTCAGCTCCGGCAGCGCATACTCATCCTGTTGAATGAGAAATACAAAGAAAAATCATGCCAAATTATTATAGATCGCAGAAAATCACAATTAGCTGCTTTGCATAAGGCTTGACATATCACGAACCATCACTGCTCTACGTGGTGAATGTCCTTCACAGCAGCAGCCTTCGGCTTCGTCCTTGCCGCACTTTTCGCTTTCGCCGTCACGGGAGTCGGCGACGGCGACGGTGCCTTCACCAGCAGTGCTGCTGACGTGTCCGGTGCAACCAAGTCCTGCGAGACAGATCGCATTTCGGTCGGCACCAGAAAACACACACAGAAAGAAAATGTCACACTGCATGCATTATATTATGTGTCCCATACGACGGTGATACATCCTACACGTCGTGTGTGGTCTAGGGTTTAAGGGTTAGGGTTTAGGGTTTAGGGTGTATACATAGACCGGCCACGGACTCAGGTTTTGCGAATATTCCAGACAACATTAACAACGGAACCTGCCTGGGAGACTCGAGCCACCTTTGATGTGTCATCAAAGGAAGCAGCCGAAGCCAGTGTTGACACAGCGCTGCGATTCAGCCGGGGCGGGGGTTCGGGCGTGTCATTCACACTGATTGGCTCCTCCTGATCCATCTGCGTTTCAAGCTCTTGCACCATCTCCAAAATGGAGGGAGTTCCAGGCTGCTGCAGGAGCGTCCTTGCTGGCGGAAGGTTCTGCGGAACTGCACACGGAGCTGTCACCTCTTGCGGTCCACTTGCTGGCGGAAGGTTCTGCTGAACTGCACTAGGCGGAGCTGCCACCTGCTGCTGCGGTCCACTTGCCGGAAAGTTCTGCGGCGGATCTGCACTAGGAGCTGCCACCTGCTGCGGGGGGCCACTTGCCGGAAGGTTCTGCGGGGGCACTGCACTTGGAGCTGGCACCTGCTGCTGAGGGGGGCCACTTGCCGGAAGGTTCTGCTGCGGGGGAACTGCACTTGGAGCTGCCGTCTGCTGCGGGGGGCCACTTGCCGGAAGGTTCTGCTGCCAGGGAACTGCACTTGCAGCTGCCACCTGCTGCGCACCTGCTGGAAGGTTCTGCTGCGGAACTGCACCTGGAGCTGTCATCACCTGCTGCTGTGGTACACTTGCCAGGAGAAGGTTCTGCTGCGGAACTGCACAAGGAGCTGCCACCTGCTGCGGTCCACTTGCCGGAAGGTTCTGCTGCGGAACTGCACTTGGAGCTGTCACCTGCTGTGGCGGAAGGTTCTGCTGGGGAACTGCGCACGGAGCTGCCGCCTGCTGCGGTCCACCTGCTGCTGGCGGAAGGTTCTGCTGGGGAGCTGCACAAGGAGCCGCCATCTGCTGCATTCCACCTGCTGCTGGTGGAAGGTTCTGCTGCGGAGCTGCACAAGGAGTTGCTACCTGCTGCGGTCCACCTGGAAGGTTCTGCGGAACTGCACCCGGAGCCACGTGCTGCGGTCCACTTGCTGGAGGAAGGTTCTGCTGAGCTGGACTGGGCGGAGCTGCCACCTGCTGTTGCGGTCCACTTGCCTGAAAGTTCTGCGGCGGAACTGCACTACTGGGAGCTGCCACCTGCTGCGGGGGGCCACTTGCCGGAAGGTTCTGCTGCGGAACTGCACTAAGAGCTGCCACCTGCTGCTGCTGCTCTCCACTTGCCGGAAGGTTCTGCGGCGGAACTGCACTAGGAGCTGCCACCTGCTGCGGGGGGCCACTCGCCAGAAGGTTCTGCGGAACTGCACTAGGAGTTGTCACCTGCTGCTGCGGTCCACTTGCCGGAAGGTTCTGCGGCGGAACTGCACCAGGAGCTGCCACTGCCACCTGCTGCTGCTGCTGCGCTCCACTTGCCGGAAGGTTCTGCGGCGGAACTGCACACGGAGCTGTCACCTGCTGCTGCGGTCCACTCGGCGCAAGGTTCTGCGGAACTGCACTAGGAGCTGTCACCTGCTGCTGCGGTCCACTCGGCGCAAGGTTCTGCTGAACTGCACTAGGCGGAGCTGCCACCTGCTGCTGCGGTCCACTTGGCGGAAGGTTCTGCGGGGGAACTGCACTGCTGGGAGCTGCCACCTGCTGCTGCGGTCCACTTGGCGGAAGGTTCTGCGGGGGAACTGCACTAGGAGCTGCCAGCTGGTGCTGCTGCGGTCCACCTGCTGGAAGGTTCAGCTGTGGAACAGCACCATCACGTGGCTGCAGCATCGTTGACCTTGTATAATCAGCAAGACTATATACTATAATCTAAGGCTATCCAGAACTTCTTAATTAATTCATTGAGAAATAATCTCTCTATACATATATATATATGTATATACACACATATATTATATATGACATATATATGTTTACATAGGTATATCAATATTGATCCGGCAAATACCACAAAGGGAAGCTCAATCCGCGGCTGCATTCTTATGTACCTGCTGTCCCTTTCCCATGGCAGTATGACAATAAGTAGCCTCCGGCACCCACCTGTCGCTTAATATGTAGTCCCCCCGAGCTGCGGGTTGCGCTCGCTTTTGTGTTTGTGTTTTGTGCCCGCAGGCACACCCAGCCTGTCCCCTGCGATAGCGCTTGCGATTTTTTGTGGTGTGCGTTGTGACCAGCCTCGCCGCTTCCCCTCCTACATATGTCAGTGGTCTTTTCCATGCAACGCGGTAGCGCTCGCGAAATTTCTGCGGGGTTGTTTTTTTGTGCCCAGGCTCGTGTGTTCCGATGATTCCAAGGGGGTAGCCCCCCCCCCCCCCCGCGGTAGCGCTCGCGAATTTTCTGTGGTGCGGTTTTGTGCCCAGGCACGTGTGTTCCGATTATTCCAAGGGGGTAGCCCCCCTCCGCGGTAGCGCTCGCGAATTTTCTGCGGTGTGTTTTCTGTGCCCAGGCACGTGTGTTCCGATTATCACAAGGGGGTAGGCCCCCCCCGCGGTAGCGCTCGCGAATTTCTGCGGTGTGTTTTCTGTGCCCAGGCACGTGTGTTCCGACTATTCCAAGGGGGTAGGCCCCCCCCGCGGTAGCGCTCGCGAATTTTCTGCGGTGTGTTTTCTGTGCCCAGGCACGTGTGTTCCGATTATTCCAAGGGGGTAGGCCCCCCCCGCGGTAGCGCTCGCGAATTTTCTGTTGTGTGTTCTTGTGCCCAGGCACGTGTGTTCCGATTATTCCAAGGGGGTAGGCCCCCCCCGCGGTAGCGCTCGCGAATTTTCTGTGGTGTGTTTTTGTGCCCAGGCACGTGTGTTCCGATTATTCCAAGGGGGTAGGCCCCCCCCGCGGTAGCGCTCGCGAATTTTTTGCGGTGTGTTTTTGTGCCCAGGCACGTGTGTTCCGAATATTCCAAGGAGGTAGGCCCCCCCCGCGGTAGCGCTCGCGAATTTTTTGCGGTGTGTTTTTGTGCCCAACACCTACCCACCCGCCCCCGCGTGTGCTATTTTTATGTGTGCCGTGGAAAGAGCAACCCCCGTGCTTATAGTGTGTGTGTGTGTGTATATATATATATTTTTATTTATTTATGTATTATTACTGTTATAGAGTAGGAGGACAGGAGAGGAGAGGAGAGGAGAGGAGAGGAGAGAGGATGGGGAGGATGGTAGTGACGCCGAATGGCATCTTCTGCCGCACCATCTCCTGTTGCTCTGCAGAAAGCCCAATCTGACCCAGCAGCAAAGCATCGATCGAGGAAGTCACTTCCTCGGATTTGTTTGCATACATATAGATATGTATATAGGAGAACATAC